AGGGGGGGTGGGGACGGGTGCCGGGAGGCGTGCGCGCGGTGGGAAGAGAGGTGGATTGTGAAGGGAAAGGAAGTATGGCCGGAGGGTGGAGTGGCTGCTGGGCATGCGTATGGGCCACGCTGAGGACGCGCTCAGACGTGGGTCTCCTTACGAAGGCCCCTCCAAAGCCTTGAAAAGGCCGCAACCGCCCAGTCCACCCACTCTCTGCCCCCGCTTCGTTTCCCCCCCCTACGCCTAGCTGGCCCATGTCGCATTGGCGTTTGAGACGGCAGGATGGAGGAGCAAGCTGCAAATGCCCTTGCTCCTCGTGCAGACGATCATAGGCAGCTGGGACAAGGCCTCCGGCGTGGGGAAGAACGGGACCTCCGCCCTCTCGCGCAACGTGGCCGAAAACGAGCTGGCCACCTCGTACACGGCCTTTAACCTGGCTTATAAGGTAGGGGTTGGGGAAAGGCGACATGGGAGAGATTGGAAGGGGGGGACCCTGGGCTGCAGTGATGAGACGCGAGTTCACACCAAATGGTATTTCATCGTTCCGATCGGGGCCTGGCTATGTTTAGACCCCGTTGAAGAGACACACACTCCATTAGCTGAGCACCTTGATACTAGATAGCCGGTAAATCTATGCCTACCTTGGAACGAAGTCTCATCTGTCCCTTTCCGTCTCCCTGCATCGATTTTTCCATATATCCTCAGGACACCGGCCTTTTCGGCGTCTACATGGTTGCCCCAGAGAACAAGCTCGAAGACCTAGCCTGGTACACGCTCCATGCCCTCCTCAAGGTGGTGCACCAGACCACTGACGAGGAGGTGGAGTACGCGAAGGCTCAGTTGAAGACAAATTATCTAAGCTCCATCTCTTCCCTCGCCGGGGCAAACGACAACCTAGGCCGCCAAATGTTGACCTATGGACGCGTCATGTCTCCTGCGGAATTTTTCGCCCGCGTGGATGCCTTGACCGTCGCAGACGTGAAAGCGGCAGCGGACCAGGTGGTCAATGACCAAGATCATGCCCTGGCCGCCGTGGGTCCTCTGCACGAGCTCCCGGATTACAACTGGATCCGTCGCCGTTCGTACTGGCTCCGCTACTAATGGAAGGGAAGGGGCCATAGGAATTGATGTGCGATGGAAAGAAGTCGCAGGGCTGGGTGGGTTTTTGAATTGGTGGGGGAAAGGAAGGAGACCTCGGAAACGAAGATGGAGCGAGGGGCGGGAGGTTTAGATGTGTGATTTTATTCCGAGAAGATTACCCTAGAGTGAAGTTTTCACAGATGCAGACTTTGCAACAGAAAGAAACACAAACAAAACTTCGAATGAAAACAGACTTCTTCTTTACGAGTTCTGTTTCCCTATCAAGTGCTCTGACGAGAAAGTTTTAAAAGGCCGACAAACGATGTACCACCCGCCGTGCGTTCCCTCTTCTCACGCCACGTCAACGTTTCGTAGATCTCGGTGCAGAGATAAATTTATACTGCTCAAGACTCATACATCGCACCAAATGTTTTGTTACAGAATAAGTTTTTTGACTATAGAGATTTACTGTCGAAACAGTCCGGGTAATGGTACGTTTTTTTGGGCTATCCCGGAAAAACGAAAACGTGTGAAAAATGGGCCAGTTTTTCGTCACACACACACACCCTTTTTTTCTTTTAATGTAGATGAGCACTGCTAATGCACTTAAAGCTTGGGAGACCAAGAATGGTCAAAAGGCTATCGAAGCCTTACAAGTGAGAATGTGCTGCCAGGGGATTACTAAACTAGACTCCTCATTGAACACACTTAGCAAGTGCGAGTGTTTATCCCTTTCGACCAACCAAATCGACCGTATGATATCACTTTCGGGGATGAAACATCTGCGTGTTCTATCGCTTGGACGAAACCAACTGAAGAAAATCGAAAAACTTGAAGATATCCAAGAGACCCTGGAGGAGCTATGGTTGTCCTATAATCTAATAAGCTCTCTAGATGGGCTTGCCTCGTTGACTAAACTCACCACGCTTTTCATCTCCAATAATCAAATCAAAGCATGGAATGAAATTGATAAATTGGCCGCCTTGCCAAATCTTAGAGATGTTCTCATGTTGGGGAACCCCGTTTACGATGGCCTTCCAAAAGAAGAAGCACGACTCGAAATGTTACGGCGTCTCCCGGCTTTAAAGAAGCTGGACGGAGACCTTGTCACTCCGTTGGAGAAAGAAAAGCTATTGGGTTGTAATGCTACTGCTGGAGCAGGGGTTGTGAGCCCCTCGACTGGTAATACAGGTAGCGGGCTGGCTGCGGAGTAATCGCTTTTTTAAAAAGCCAATGAAAATTGAACGCGAAATGATGGCTACGAGGACTACCTTCGGTGCATCAAGTTCTCCTGTCTCCGTATCCTTGATAGTACAATGTATTTAGACTTGTTTTTCAGCCTCGATAAAATACGGGGGATGCGAAGTAGCGGAGTCTTGTCTGCTTAGCGAGTACTAGTTCCCGACGGGCCGCCTATCTGTGAAGCAAGGTGATACAATCTGAATGAGCGTGGAAAGAATCATTGAAGTCCCGTAAAAACAAGGCAAAAAGCGTGTCAAGAATTTCCAAGCGGACGTATAGAAGAGGGAGGGACAGCAAGGAGAGAGCTTCGATAACAAAGTCGGAACAGAGAAGAAGAGACGGACATATAGACGAGGGAGGGACAGCAAGGAGAGAGCTTCGATAACAAAGTCGGAACAGAGAAGAAGAGACCTCGAGTGACAGGATTTACAGAGTTGATAAATGAATTTGAAATGCGTTCAAGGGGTGATCATTAATAACTTTGCGGTACCCAAGAAGTTCATCACCGAAGAAGTGGCGATGCAGACCTTCAAGGAGGATTTGGTCGCGTATGGCCACTTCTGGATGCAGCAGTACATCGACGCACAGGGGATGCCGGTGCAGGAGGAGAAGTGCCCTCTCGTCTCGTTTTGGGGGTTGATAGAAATTAGAGAGAGCATGCCGGTCCTGAGCTTCCTCGTCCACGTAATCCTGTCCCTGTCCCCCTCCTCCGCCGACACCGAGCGCTTCTTTCCTGACAGCGGTTTGTCCTTAAGTGACCGCCATCAGTCCTTTGATGCGCAGCGAACGGAGGATTTGGTAGTTGTGAAGGAAAAGTGAGACGACTAAGATTAAGAGAAATAGTAGAGTAGTTCAAAATATTAACATCAGAAAAAGGGTGCAGGAAGCGCACGCGGTGAAGAAAAAGCAGGAAAATATAATACAGAAAAAGATTTATGGTAAAGTACATGTAAAAGACCGAAGGGCAGCAAGGTGAAAGCCAGGTTGTTCGAAAGCAATCCAGGCGAAAAACGACGGAGCGAGCAAGTTTACTCATTTTCATTATCTATAAAATTATTTACTGTCCAGATAACTGATTGTAAAATGTTTTTTTGATACGATAAATGCAATTTCGCCTGGGGCACCGTCCCAAACCCCACGAGGAGAGGTTACGGCCCGGCCCGCGGGGTTCGAGAAGGGGAACCATACCCGGAGAACCACCTTCCAACCCCCCCCGTTTGGTGCCGGCGCTTGCGCGCGGTGCAGGTCGTACGCCGCAGGCCTCCGACAGGCCCACCCCTGAGGCGGGCGCATTCTTACGAATGAATCATGACTGTTCTCCGACACGTTGGCCGCTATTCATGAATGACAATGTTAGTAGGGGTGACGGCCCAATGATGATGGATTCCTACTAGGAGGACAGCCCTGATGATGTCGGGTGCCTAAAACATCACACATTTGGGGTAGGAGGGAGGTGGACGATGATAGCCGCACGCTGTCCGGTCACGACCCTTAGTATGAGCCATGTAATCCGTGTACGCTTAGCGTGCGATTGCGTGCATAGATGCATCACGGACACTTCTTATGCAGCACGCAGGGGTATGTCTGCTGTGTTGAACCGCCGCATCGTTTGTCCGCGCCCCTCATATCCATTCATCCTCCGGCGCCTCCGTCCTCTCGATCCCCGTCGCCTGTTGTGCGTGTGCTGACGAGCGACCGCATAGGCTGGGAGAAGGGGTGACTTGCAACGGCGGCATCACGGTGCTGACGAGATCCTCGCCATCCATACCTCATCACAGAACAAACAATCTCAAGATTTGGTGCGAGTCTTGCTCATGCAACATGGTGAGTCCTGTTGTTTTTTTAACCCAGCCCCTCATGTTTCCCACCCCCCCATGCCATCGTCATTCGTGTTTGCGGGAGGCCGAAAGCTCCCTTGCGACGTTCATTAAGGTTTTGAGGTGTGTCCATGAATTTTTCAGTAGAAGTTGGTTTTGTTTTTGTGTCCGGTTGTAGCCCGTACCAGCGGAGTTATGTGTACACACACGCCTGGTGAACCCAGTAGGGAGAAATGTAAATGAATGCCTGGGGTAAGAGAATGAAGGAGGAATGTGGTGTTAGCGTGCAACGTCATTTCAAGTCGTATAAGGAGCCCCATACTTCTCTTAAAATACACGCTATGCTTGCTTCCCTACTACAGGCGGAAAATATGTTCCCCCGGCCCTGAGAGGAGAATCGGGAGCCGAGAACGACGAGACACCTCCGACTTCCCTGACGGAAGTGAAAGCGGGGGGGATGGACCACTCCGAGAGCAGTAGCGCGAACAATCACGAGCCCAGCGAGGCCATTCACCCGACGTCGGGCGCGCATCAGCGCCACCAGCAGATGCCGCCCTACCCCCAAAACACGCCGCCGTCGGGTCCCATGGGGGACTACCGAGGCTCGTCGTACGGCGGAGGGGGCGGCGGCTACGGCAACCAGGGAGGAGGTTATGGCTATGGAGGACGTGGGGGGGGAGGGCGGTTTGATGGGGGTGGCGGCGGGTACGGGCGGGGCGG